CTTGTATTCCGTTCGTTGTATCGTAGTACTATAATTTTCAAATCATTTCGCATACCTATAACCCTTTTGCTTTATTGCTTCTACGATCCAGGAAATAGGATACTAGGAAGATATACCTAGTTAGTTAGTTAGTCAGTCAGTAGTATGAAATGGTTTCGATTGTTACTCCAATTCCGTGTAATTAAAGTACGATTAGATCGCGAATGTTGCCGTCTTCGTTATCGAGGATCGAGCTTGAGGGAGAGGCTTTAGCTTGACTAATGGTAGAAAAGCACTTAATTACCTGAAGGAAGGTTCTACCTATCGATATCTGCTTCGGCACTAAAAGAAAAAGCTCCTTCGCTTAGTTTGAGTAATGGTGATCGGACAGCGAAGAAGCGGCTCCACTTAGCGCTATATAAATTGAACGATTATGGGGGAAAAATAAAAAGTACCTTCAAAAGAAAAAAAGAAAAAAAAAAAAATTATATATATACATATAATATATAGTTTTCTTTTACTTTGCTTTTTACATGTTGACGAAGGTTGACAGATGGATATGGTATAGGTGTGTGTGTGTGTGTCTATAAATATATATATATATATATTATATACCTAAATACATAAGGGACAATGGTATAAGTAAAGGTCGGAGTAAAGCTTACCGTCTGTTTCCCTCTCGATGCGAATCGTTTCGTTTGCTGCAAATAACGCCGAGAAAAGAAAAGAAAAGAAAAGAAAATAAAAGAAAATTTGTCCTCCCTTTCGCCTAATAGCAGGATCTTGACTGAGCCGCATTATCCTTGTGAAAAATTCACAGTCTCTAAAAGTACCTACGCCCTTTTTCCTTGCACCTCTCTCTCTCTCTCTCTCTCTCTCTCTCTCTCTCTCTCTCTCTCTCTCTCTCTCTCTCTCTCTCTCTCTCTCTTTCCATATTTTCCCTTCTTTTCTTTCACATATACCGTTTATTTTCTTGCATATTTTCCTTGTGGTTCTTTTAAAAATCCACATTTCCATAACACCCGCCCTTTTCCCGCTTCTTACATTCGTATCGCCTTATACTTTTAGCCATGAACGATTCAAATAGCCTCGTTTGACCGTAAGGTACCACCTCTTTATATTATTTCTTCTATTATTTTCCTTCGATGATCGTGGATCGGTGGTGCAACGACCTTAAACACCCACTATGGTATCGATAGTATTTTTCTTCCTCCTTTCTATATATTTCTTTTTTCTTTCTTTTACATTTCTTCGAGTTGTGTTACGGTGTACGTAACGTTCCACGTGTTTTCATTGATCGGCTTGTGTTGCCAATTGCAGCGGTAGGAAAAATAGAGACATTATTCTAGTCGTCCTCCTTTTCGCTTACTCGTAAAAAGTTCCCTCACGTCGTAAGAATATACTTACCTATCGTATGAGTTGTCCTTATCGTCGCGAGTACGATGGTATTCGACGTTCTAAGCATAATAAAAAAATATTTAGCCTTCTAGTATGTGCTGTTGCTGGTGTACTCACACACTGTGAATTCAACGTTGCGAGAGTATAGGTAAAAAGAAAGTAAGGTATGTTGAGCCATCGGTCGATTTTGCATTCGTGGACGCTAATATTAAAACGAAAATGGGTTAAATGATCTCTACGAATAAATGAATGGCGTATTTTTGATACGTCCGTTATTGCAAAAACGACCAATAGCTAAACCGCGGTGATCAACATGGCTTTTCATATCAACACGTTTATTCAGATTATGCTGATGTGTATATATTTATAGAGAGAGATCTATAATTATTGTAAATACACGTAATATGGTCGTCGTAATTTCAATTTTCAGCGCACGTACGTTTCACTCGTCGGAGGAGCTTTATTCGAACATTTTGGGAAACGTAAACGGAAGCGCAAAATTTCGTGCGCGGACGCACGCTTTCAACGACTATGTTTTTCCCTTCCCCCCAACCCTTTTTTTTCTCCTTTCTTTTACCAGTAATCTCTCTCTCTCTCTCTCTCTCTCTCTCTCTCTTTTTCGCTTTCTTTCTTTCTTTCTTTCTCTTTCTCTTTCTCTGTTTCACTTTCTCACATACGCACACGTACACACATTCGATCAGAGGCACGCATGCACGCGTCTTCGCTTCGTAGACGAACTTTGACGTATAATTATATATAAAAAATCTATGCCGTTGCGCAGTTTCGGCTTTCGAGTAGAAAAATTATTAATTTAAGGACGACAGTATGGTGGTATTTGTGACGTTCGATAAGGATGAATAATAGTAATGATAACATCGTGACAAACACGCTCCCAGGAATATGCAGTTTGTTCAGGAGAGAATAATAATACTCGTCCGTGGGTTCGTTGCAAAACGCGTAACATATTCTAATACCTTTTTCGATTCGTATAAATTTTCGGGACGACGGTTGGAAAAACTGAAGGACACAAATGATCACATTCGTAATGCTAGTACGCGCAAAAATCTAAAAATAGGAAGACAGAAAAAGAAAAAATGAAAAAATGAAAAAAGTAAAAGAGAGAGAGAGAGAGAGAGAGAGAGACGGAGAAGGGAGAAAGAAACACAATTATCCGTTTTGTATTATCAAATGTCAGGCAAATATTGTAATAACTTTTTTTGACAATTCTCGAATAACAAATCTTGCAATGTGCCACGTATTCATAGGTATTTAGGTAAAAATACGTAAATTTAGTTTTCTTCGAAATTGACCTTTAAGTCCAGAATGATTTGGCAAATGGCTTAGGGCTGTTCAGCACCGGTGATCTCTTTTGAAATCAGTCTCTCGTTGAGTGCATTGATGAGATGAAAAAGCGAATGAAGCCTGGCTTCGTCGACCTAGTGACTCTATTTCTGGAACTTTCAACTCCGCGAAAATATAGTTGGGAACGTTAGTGGCCGAGTTTCTCGTATCTTTTCGAGCTTTAATAATTCCCAGCCATTTTTCCGTAAACTAACGGCGCACAGTAATTATTTTAAAATCTAATGTTCAATATCTAGTTTAAGTATATGTATTTATACGCGTTTTATGTATATACCTATGTATATACCTAAGTATAACGTCATTAAAATCGGTTTTACACGTAGCAAACTTTCGATCTTTACATCACCCTTTCTCTTTCTTTCTTTTTCTCTCTTTTTCTTTCCTTATGTATCTTGTTCTATCTTTGACTTCTTTCCTCTTTCTCTCTCTCTCTCTTTCTCTCTCTCTCCCTCCCTCCTTCTTTATATTTTTCGCGAGCGCGCATGCAGACGTACACATTGGTTTTCTTTGAATTGCATATTCAGTGTTTCCTTTTCATAGTCTGAACAGCGATAAAAGAGTCCGGAATATTCAAAGTGTTTTTTTGTGTGAGCGTTAAGAGGAATAATATTTTAATATTAAAATTATTCTAAGATAAAAGGCAATGAAACGAAATTTAGTGATATAGAGGTGGGTTAGGTTGTCATCCCGTGTATTTTCTTGATCCCTTTTTAAACTGTGTGTGCACATTGACTTCGCATTAGATTGCATATTCATCGGTCTCCCCATATTTTGGATTCCTACGATCTATCGCGGTGGATCGAAAAGTATTGAACTGTTGTTTGGATGAAAAATATTTTCGCCTTGTTCCCCTTTTTTATTCCGTATTGTGCATGGCGAGATTACGATAATACACACTTTTCATGATTTTACGAATAATACTTGTCCGGAGGAAAACAAACAATCAAACGATAAACGATTCCTCGGACGAGTCGATTGGAAACTATTCGAAGTATTTCGACTATGGAATAATTGAACGAATCGAATTTCAAAATTGGAATATTTCAAAATTTCCAAGCATGGGCAATAAGCGCACATTTTGACTGTGTATCATTAAAAAAAAAAAAAAAAACCAAAAAAAAAAAAATAGGACCGATGAAATTAAAATCTGTGTAAAAGGGTATCGATGTGTCGGATGAAAAATAATCAAATCAAAATGACGAATATAAACTCGTTATATACTTACTTAATTGTTGTCGTATGCGTTCGCAATATCTCGATAATCTTTCGGGATAGCATTCGTACGATGCACGGGGAAATAACAAAAAAAAAAAATAGTATACGTAATGGAGCACCGATTTATCTCTTGATAAACGGAAATAAAATTAAGACATAATTCGACGAATCAATGATAATCACGCATATCTTTACGATTAATTCGATGAAATTTCGTAGGTGAAAGGAAACGAGATACAACGTGGCTATTATACGAAACGAGGTTTTAAGTAAAATCGATGTTTCACTTAATCTTCGATAACCATAGTAACACGTATTTCGAATTATAACGTCGGAAGGATCGGCACTCCATCTTTAGTATAATTTCTCGCTTAATTTTCATCTACACACGCATACACGCAAGCGCACGCAGCACACGCATAATACACACAAACGGACGCATACAAATACGCGTACGTAAATACGCATATACATTCGTACGTACATATACATATATATATTCATATATATATAATATATCTTTATATTTTGCTCTGCTTAAATTTAATTCGAACGTTTATTTAATTATACACTCGTTTTTTTGTTTATTTATTTTTTTTTTTTTCTTTTATCGTAATTATATCGCCCCTTTGCTCAATTCACATTGCGCGGAGGTATCGCTTTACGCGCACTTTGAAAAAATATCGGCGCTGTACATCGGAGGAGAATATATATTACAATGGATAAAGGTAAAATAAAACGAAGGAACTTGTCCTCGTTTCTACGTCCTTTTCGCATAATACGAATATCGTTCTTTTTTTTTTTTTTTTCTTTTTTCGTGTACGTTGACGTAATTCAGTCGCGAGCAGTCGAGAGATCGGTTAGCGAAATAGTCGGAATTATTCTTACTTTTCTTTATGATTTTTTTTTTTTTTTTTTATTTTATTTTATTTTATCATATTTTATTTTATGTTATTTTTATTTTATTTTATTTTATATTTTATTTTATTTTATTTGTATATTTTATACTTTTTTATACTTTACTTCATTTTATCTCTTTTTTTTCTTTTTTTTTTTTTTTCTGACGAAGTCCATTCAGATTAAAGTGCGTAAAAATTCAATAGCCGATCGAAGAAATATGTCGACCGAAGATAGAACGTAACGAGCTGCATTGAGAAACGCGTAAGAACATGCGGGTGGAGATGGGTGAAGGGGGGGGTAAGGTAAGGTATGGGAAGAAGGTTGGTAAGACGGAGTAGTATGGTGGGTAGGGTAGGGTAGGGGAGGAAAGGGGGTATTTTGAAGTATGTATTTTTATGTTAAAGATATATAGATCGACGAAAAGAAATTATTGTCATGGAAAAAATTTTCCAAACGTACCAATTTGCATCCGATCGCGACATATTATTACACTCGTCGTATATTTTGTTGTCTAGTGACGCGAAGAGAACTTATTTATATCGGCGACAGAGTCCTTCGTCCCTTTGTCACATTATTACTACTACTCGTCACACAATGAAACTTTCTTTCTTTCTCACACTTCGTCGCATCTCGTTATGCGTTTATTTACAAGGTATTTACATGGGGATTCGGGCAGTTTTTCTTTTTTTTTTTTTTTTTGTAAACACGCTAAGAAATGAGATATTCATTACAATTCGTACGAGATGATAATTCTCGTTACAACACCCGTTGTTGTTGTTGTTGTTTTATTGTTGTTGATTAGTTAAAACGTTCGTGGGTACGATTGTATTACACGGGAACGTTCGCGTATTTACGCGGTGCATAGAAATTACCGATCACGAAATAGTTTCTAATAAGAAAATTCATCTCGGTATATATCATTTTTTTCTTCCGTTTTTTTTTCACATGTTTAGATATAGATATATTTTATTGATATATCGTGGTAACGACCGCGTCGCTTCCGCGTGCCAGTTTTGACGTTGTGCGCGTTCGTCAATCAGTCGATAGGACGCACGTTTGTCTGTAAATTTTTATTTTCAATAAACTTACGTTTGTCACCGCATGCCCAACGAAGACCGACGAATTATTTTTTATTTTAATCCATTATCGTCGTCATTGTCATTGTCATTGTCATTGTCATTGTCTTCGTTGTAAACACGGGAAAACGAAAGAAGCGTATTCGAGTAGCGCGAATGAATAGCGTGCGCTTTGGTCTATCTTTCGAGAATTCGATCTAAAAATCATCTTCTTATCAACGTGTTTTTTTTGTCAACGGCGCATTTATATCCATAAATTTAGGCAGTAAGATGGTATTAATGTATGTATCTATGTAAATACAATATTACGTTAATAATAGGCGTTTACAATATAATAGGCACACAAGATTACGGAAAATAATCTTGAAATCGATGGCTTCGTTTAAATAAATTCGTCCTTTTTGTAATCGTAATCGTCGTCGTATAATATCGTAGATATAAGAATTAAAAGAATAACCAGGTAAGGAAGATGAAAATATAATGATGAAGAAAATGATTTTCTACTTTGACAATAAGAAAATAATAATAAATGAATACTTTCGATAACTCGTAATGGGAAAACAAAAGCGTAAGTAATAAAAATAAGTATAATAATAATAATAAGAAGATGTGTCGTGGTTGGCTACTGGCATACCTGTTGTAACAATTTGCGGTATGTTTGTGAACGGGTGTCCCGGTTCTGAAGGAGACTTGGTGATGGTGATGGCGTGGGATGCGACGCGGCCATATCAGACGTAATATTCGTTAACGCCGAGCGCGTCGGAATCGCGTCCCTATACGCAACTTTCTTGGCTCGAAATAAGTGGCGTGCGAACGGTTACAACTTCCCTTCCCGGATGATGCTTGTTCGCGGTGACTCCGGTCAATCCGGTGACCCCGGTGATTCCGGTTACCATTGACTCGTGTAAAAGTCCGCTCATCGTTGAGAGCGGCGTACTTCCGCATGAAGATGTACTCTTCACCGTGTCTATTTTTGGTGGCCTTGCGGTATGGTCTATGCAAGCATATACCGTTGCCTCTTTAGCGTAAGGTTTTCCCCCGACGATAACGCCACTTCCGTAACCCTGAAGTCCTCCGAGACCGGCGACGGTACCTAAATTCGCTAACTTCGTGTCCGTTCCCAAAGTCGACAGGGTGGTTGGCCTCGTTAAACATAGCTCTGCATACGTCACTTCACCGGATAACTATGAACAGTATATACGTAATAGAGAGATTTCAATCTATTTATATCTTTATCCGTTTGTTAATTTGTATCAATTTATTCGTTAAATTTGTTTATCAAATTATTTTAATTAATTTATTATTCAATAAATATATGATTATTTACGATGATATCTATTTTCGGGGAAACTGATAAGATTCCTTGACGAAAACAAATAATATATTATGATGATTTTGATACGATGTGAATTATTTCAAATATCGAGTTATCCAATTAATTGCTATATATATATATATTTCTATTAGTTTATTTTTCCAAACAATTAATCCCTGATAAACGACAAAATTTTGTTTTCGAACAGGATTAACACGATTGTGTAATTATTTTATTATAATAATGATGAAATAAAATACGTTGACGCGTCGGGTGGTAATAATAGAAGAAATTGTTTAGATAATCAGGAGAGGTAAGAAAAGTGAGGAAACGTCTGAGCGCCGTTGTATTTTGCCTGTGAACGTGTCTTCCAAAGAGTTTCCCTTTACTTTTTTTTTCTTTTCTTTTAAATTAGATGATAGTATTTTCGCGAAAGTTCATCCAAAGTTCGCCATGATAATCCTTGAAAGATACGATTATTTTCGGTAGTTCTGCCAAAGACTTGGATCCGAAGCAAAGAGAAACTTTCCTGCTAATGAGCGTCCACTTTCGAAATTCCAGACTTCTGGAATTCTTCTCAAAGCCCTTACTTACCTACCAACCTACCGAGCAGAACGGCTCGCTAGAGTTTTCTTCGTTCCTTCTCATCTCGAATAAGCAAGAAATTCGAGTGGGCCAATGGGAAAACGGAGAAGATTGGCCGGTACGAACAAAACAACGAAATTATTGAGGCATAATCAAAGTTTTAGTCTACGGAATTTCGTCTATTTTTCTCTCTCTCTCGACTTTTTTTTTCTTATAATTCATATCGACGCTCAGACCGCGAAATTCAATGAAGAAAATTAGAATAATGATTGGCCGATTGGAAATCTGTGATAAGGAAAAACTAAACGATAAAACAAACAAAAATATCGACGAAATTGAAAAAAGAATCGAGATGTGTATTTTCGAAATTGTTTTTGCAATTTTTCTTTTTTCAATATATATTCAACTTTGTATTGTCTGTAAAAATAATCATAGTTCTCGTGTTTCCTTCATCTCTTTGTTGTGAAAGAACGATTCGAAGAAATCGAGGTATTTGTTTATGTAATAACTTTGTCAAAATGTTTGTTCTTCGAAATAGGTACCGATAGAGTAACTTAAATATAAATATCCTGAATAAGTAAAACACATTTATATATATTATTTTGTAGTAGAGCAATGAAATGAAGTATTTTTGTTTGGTATTTATTTTAATTGAATTCACCAATTGATTGGGTCGAATTTACTTTGTCAATTTAATCAATTAACTATATTTTACGAGTACACTCGTCGCGAAGAAATATTTTGTGTAATCGTTTTATTTCCACGATACAACTTATTAGTAGGTACACACTTTTCGAAAAGTTTATCACAGTTAATTGGTTAATTGTTAATTACTTTTTTTCGATTAAAACAAAAACTTGTCATTTATATTCGACGAGTATACTAATCGATCATAATTAATTGGTTTAATTGTACGTAATCGAGTCGTTAGTATTGTTGTAACGATACTTACCGGTAAGGTTGGATAATTGTTGTATTCGTTGTAAGCGGTAAGTCCTTGAAGATGATTGTTATGTTGTGTTGAAGGGAGTGACGACGGTGGTAATCCATCCGGCGTATTTTGGGTTGCCAATGGCGTACCAGAAGTTGATCCGGTCAATTGATAATCTGAATCTTTTGTTCCAATTAAATAACAATGTTTCATATAATTAATCTTAATTAAATAAAAATGATAATGCTCTTATTAATAGAGCTTCCTTAGATTTAAAGATCTTTATTTCGTTTATTAATATTGATTACATCATAAAACAAGTGTATTTTATATTTTCTTTATTATTTTCTTTCCTTCAAACTATATAATCTTCTGTAAAGCCATAAAGAGCCCTAAAGTTCAAGTTTCCCTCTTCGATAGGAATCTGTTACCGAGAAACTATAATGAGCTAGATGGAAACCCATATATAGCTCATGATTTAGGAAGTTAGGATATAAGCTATGCGTACGATGCATCAAATAAATGATGGGCTAGTAGAAAATCCAGGCACGTAGAACGAGTAGGCGAGTTATGACTTGATACATAGCGATTATCGATCGATGTACTACTATGAATATCATTTTGAGAATCAAAATACATAATAATTTAACATCGTATATATTATATAGGAAACAAAGAGATATATAAAAATTACATTTACGTATTCATACATACCTTTATTAGTTGGTATAACGTCTGGATTTCTGTCATCGGCATCATAAAGATCTTCGGAACTAGGCGCGGTAGATTTTTTCAAAGGCAAATCACCAGGCCTTTGAGCTCGTCTATCGCTTCGTAATTTGAGTGCTGCTAAAATTATTCCAGTGACTAGGACTAGGGCGGTAAACACCCCAATGAGACCAAGTAACAGGGGTGTTATTTCGAAAGGCACCTGAGTACCTGTAAACAAAACGCGCACTGCTCTCGTGCAGTTACATTTTTGCACATTCTTAAGATCTAATCTTGCACAAACACCGTTGTGCGTTATTTATTTGTTTTATATAATATATATGTTAATTCATTAAAATAAAAAATTAAATCATGAATGAATTATACTGTTAAAGTTATATGAAAGAAAGCAGGATTACATACTTTAATTACGTAATATAAGAATTCACGAAAGGCGAGTAGTTAAAGTATGAAATTGAAATTTGATTCGTAGATTAGATCCTATAGAACGGTACGATTAATTTTAGAAAGTACAGGAAGAAATAAGAATGAATAGTTACGAACATTGTTGTCAAAAGAAAAAAACAGACTTTAAAAAAAGATTGATCTAATATCAATTTCACATTTAAACTCTATATTCTCGCCTTTCATATAAATTCATATATTATATAATTATTTCATGTATTACTTAATTATTTCACGAATAACCAGAATTATATACCTACTTCAAACGTTAACATATACAATTTCGAAGCGTCGAGGTACGCGTGTAACAAAGTTATAATTTATTACTTAACGAGTTTTAATTTATAAATTAAGGACGGAGTTAACAGCAGTTAAGGTCTTGAACAAAATTAATTGGACAATGAAGTAGAATGAAATCGTATATTGAGAGGTCAATCACCTCGTTTCACCTCTCTTATTATCGATGATTCTTAATCGGTGTTCTTCGAAAAGTGCAGGCTAACGTTTGTTCGCGTTCATTCTTCCCTTCTTTTTCTTTTTATTTTTTTTTTTCTTTCTTTTTTTTCGATCCTTCCTTAAAAGTGCGGCCTTTTTAATAGGATCTTTTCACGAAGTTGAGAACTGAGGGTACGGCACCGATACGGCGCATTAAGCCGTAACGATCGAAGCGATAATAAGATAGTCAGGACTTAGTCATGCTTTCGAACGTCTAAGAAGAGAAACTAAAGTAAAGAAATACATTTGAAGATTCTTAAGGTTTCGGCTAAGAAGGATCGATCGATCGTTAAATTTTTCCAGTTTAACGGATCCCTCGAACTCTGAACGGTTGGTTCTACGTATAGTTATTAAATGATAAGTTTAATAGAATCTGTAATTCTATTCGGATTAAATAATGATAAAAGAAAATATGATTATGAAATAGAAAGATGATTTTAAAGAGAAAGATTTTGTTATCCCGTAAGATGTATCATCTTTTTTTCTTTTCTTTTCTTTTCTTTTTTCTTTTCTTTTTGGAAGTGGTGAAGGCCGAACGTAGTCTACCGAGGGGAATGCAGAGAGAATGGTAGAATTCAATATCAATGGTTAGGAAATTTGATTAAAGTTTCACGCTCGGCGAAGCTTGCATGAAGTGGATCGATTTTTGAACGAATCTTTTTAGCTTTAAGTACGCATTCACGCAAGTATAGGGTACGCCTAATCGAAGAGAGAGAGAGAGAGAGAGAGAAAGAGAATCATGAATACATCGATGAGGTCCTGGTGGAAGAGGTATCTATAGAGGTGCGAGGAAACTTGCTCGTTCATTCGCGCGCAGTCTCAAGCATAAGCGAATCGCATCTCTCGACGGTGGAAACTGACCGAGAGCAATTTCACTTGTAAATTCGTCTAGGAGTCGATATATACGAGCTACCGAGGAGTATATCCGCCGGCAGTGGATCCTAGCTCGGTTCACGTACCCGTACTTTGTATAGTCTAGCTTCGATTCCAACACAAACGAGGAGAATTCTACAGGCCGGTAATCCACTGGATGAATGCAACCAAGAGATCGACTCGCTGTTCTATTTTCTCAAGTACTTAGAGAACTTGGTCTACATGTAGATCCTATTCGATTTTGCAACCGATTATACTTGTTTCTCGTAAAACCTTCTACCATTTCTCTCTCTCTCTCTTTCTCTTTGTCTCTCTCTCTTTGTCTTTGTCTTTATCTTTATCTTTCTAATTTTCTCTATCTCTCTATCCATTAAAATCTATTTCAAAGGAATTTCATTACGCGTCGTTAAGCTGCTCAATTTGCAACGAGTCCTATTCGAAGCATCCTTCCCATTATATAGCTCGATTAAATTGTTAAATAATAAAAGCATTCGAAGTAACTTACCTGTCTGCTTCTCGGCCACTTTTAAAGTGAAACCCTCTAGCACGACTTTCTCGCTCATTCCTTTCCCATTGACGGCAAACAATATCATAGTGAGAACTTTGCCCGATTCCAAGTTTTGTACCGTAAATTGTGGAATATCTCTGGTAAGATTTGCTTGCAGTACACCGGTTTCTTCGTCGAATACTTCTAAAACGAAACATTGTGATTGACCTCCGTCAAAACCGGCAGTGCATTCGACCGAGAGCGACTGAGTCGTTTGATTGGTGAGCGTACAATTGTAAGGGATTTCTGGTTTACCTGGAATAAATAACAAAACAATTTGTTCAATTTTCATTATTCCGATTGGTTAAAGTATCTCGACTATAGGGAAAGATGCGTGGATAGTAATAAGTTTGGTGAAACTCGTGGTTAGACTATTCGAGTTAGATTAAAAAAGGTACTTTGGAAGAAACTTTTCTGAAACTAACCCGAAATAACTAACTGAACTAAACCTCCACGTGAATTTGTAGATTCGTCTTACGAGTGGCTTACGAGAAGCGAGCGAGATGCGCGCGCACATATACACACACTAACACACACACATATATCTACGTCTATAAAGGTAGATAAGTAGGTAGGAAGGAATGCACGTACCCGCGGGTATGATGTAAAATATGCAAGCGTTCTTCTGCTGGCCAGCAGCGTTGCTCGCCCAACAAGCCACACTGCCAAAGTCCATATCTGTGATCGGTTTGTACACGAGGATGCTTTGGCTGAGATGAGTGGAATTCTTGTAACGTGTCTGGGGCATGTCGATCAGTTCCTGACTAGTGTTGAAGGCCCACCTAAAGCTTTCGGGAGGTGGATAAGCTTCGACCATGCAGAGCACCTTGACGTCCTCGTAACGCGCCACTCCATATATATTCTTTTGTTCGGCCACACAGATTGGCTTGTCTGCGAAAAGAAAAACCAACCAACCCCCACACTCATATTTCTTTTCTTTTGACCATTTTTTTATTCTTTTCTTCATGTTCCGTGCTCTTTCTTCTTTCCTTTTTAACCTTTTATGCCGTTTACCATTTCTTTTTTAGACAGTCAGAGACACTATGCACCTACTACTACTACTACTACTACTACTATCTGTATTGTCCTTTGGAAAAGAATCGAAAGAAAAATCGAAACGCGATAACGTAAAGAGTGAGACGAATGCGTGTGGTGGAACGGGAGTGAGGGCAGAGGCAGGGGCAGGGTAGTCTGCACCACTGCGAATACAGTTTACGTACATTTATTAAAACTGCGAAAAAGGAGGACGCGTGGCGGACTGACCACGTTTACGCGCCCTTTCGAAGGGAAAGATCGATGGGCGTTATTCGCTGGCTCGTCGTTCCAATAGTTTTGCCATTTTTCGTGTACGTACGGTCTACGGCAGGACGGGCTTACGAGTTGGTCGGTTTGCTCTCAAAATCGCTTTATTTTTTTTACTTCTTTTTTTCTTTTTTTCCTCTGTCTCTCTCTATCTCTCTCTTTCTTTTATTCACCGTTCGCGAATTCACCGCTCGTCATCGTGTTTTTTAACGAATAACCGTAACGACTTTTCGACGGGGTGACTTTCCCGTTTTGGAGCTTACATTATACGTCAGTGAGTCTAGCTGAAGCGTACTTTCACCTTGTCGAGAAATGCGCGTATAAATAATTAACTAATATTTTGGTTAGATTCGTTAGGATGCATAGATACAAAAAAAAATGTATATTTCCGGCACTAATAACAAGTATAAAAAGAAAGAAGAAAAAAGAAAATGGAACAAATTGGTTAGCTGAAAGAAAATTAATGAACACACATTTCTATTTAAATATTATTTTGTAATTCTGAAAATGAATATATAAACGGGCAATAAGTATCGTGCGTTAGAAAATCTCATCGCGATATTTCAATTTGTTAGAAATATGAAAGGCCCCTGAAACTAGGCAGAACATTACTACACGAACGTAGTAAAGTGTGTTCGGTTATCCAAATGCAGGGGTTGCATAGATTGTATTCGAAGTTAAAGTTATCGACTGAGTCGGAAGTATGGCGTGTTATCTATTTTTAGGCACGAACGCGCATTCATCCTTTTGCGATAAAGCGAAAGGAAATAATTTAAAAAAGGCGAACACAGAAAATAAATCGTTACGATTGTATAATATATTACACGTAACGCATTTCGACTTCGTATATTAAATCGACGAACGTGTTTAAATGAAAACAAATATAGATATATACAAATATAAATAGAAATAGAAATAAAAAGAAAAGAAAAAAAATAATAAGAAAAATACTCACACATGATTTTGAGTTCGACGCTATTGCTATAACCATCACCCTCGACGTTGCTAGCAACGCAGGTGTAATTTCCGGCCTGGGAACGATTGACTTTTCTTAAAGCGAGATCGTATTGTTGTACTATCACGCCGTTCTTTGCGTTGTTCTGAATGACGTTGCCCTGGAATGAAGCGAACACACTGTGAGATTAGATCGGAAATCTGCGAAGAAAAAGTATCGAGAGGGTGGTAGGTAGGTAGGTAGGTAGTCTCACGAAAAGTAACGTGGTAAAAAGAATAAGAAGAATAAGAAGAAGAAGAAAAATAAGAAGATGAAGCAGTAGAAGCGGATACGAGGACGAATGGAAACGGTCTGGTAGAAGAAAATGGGTCGAAGAGAAATGCAACGAAGTGGAAAGCGAAGAAGGCACGCGTAATGTCGAATAGAAGACTAACATAAGACCATTTTCGTGACAAAGCTCTCTCTCTCTCTCTCTCTCTCTCTCTCTTTCTCTTATATCGTTCTTCATCTATTTATCTCTGTCTCATTCTCTCGCATTCTCGAAGGAACGAAGGAAGGATTACATTTTCTTGGGAGAATTTCTCGAGGATCGTTGTTACCTATAAAAGAGCTTTCGTAACCAAACGTGAAGACGATGACAAAAGAGAATAGTCAGGCGCATAGTTAAAACCGCAACTCGGGATTAAGAGAGGCAGTGAATAACGACGAAGTAAAGGTAGCAAAAAAAAGAAGAAAAAAAAAAGACAAAGGGAGTTAGATAAGAGCAAAGGATCGAAAGAAAGAATGTATAATGATGTAGGTAACTAAATATGTATGTATGTTATATATTATATATTGAGACAGGACTTATTTCTTTTCAAGACTAAAGAAGTTAATCCTTCACCTGACGAGGCCTGGGTCAAGTGGCTGCCAGGGCTCTGTGAGTTTAAAGGAAAAGAGAGAGTAAGAGAAAGAAAAAGAGAGAGAGAGAAACAGTTGGTGCCTATTCGTGCATGCATAACTCTGATACGTGTGTATTTATTATTTACTTATATGACGGTGGAAATACGAGAGGATAGAAACAAATTCCTGTGGGATCGACTTACGTTGTGCTTCCAGACGACTTTGTAAGCCCAGGGATTCGCACGAACCTTACATTCAAAGTAGACATCATCGCCTTCCTCTATGTCGTCGGGATTCATGTTGGAACCAAGCCCCAACCGTAAGATAGGAACGACTGAAAGAAAAAAATCAATTCTCGTCAATGTTATTGTCTTAAGCTGCTTACAGGTTTCCATTCGAAGTAAAGGTATATATTGTATATTCTCGAGAATTACAAGGCAAACTGAAATAGAACAGTACTCCATCGAATTGGGTTAAATTTCGTGCTATGCGATTCTGTTACGAAGATACCAATATCTTCGTTAATTATGGATATTATTATTGTTATTATTATTATTATAGAATGAATATTTAATATAGAAATTCGTTTGATAGAATAAGGACAATTTTAAATATTAACTAAAATAGTTCATTTCCAGTATGTTTTATTATTCATTCGATTTAAATTCATTTGTAAAATTTTATTTAAATTTTATCTCTCTCTCTCTCGGACAATTTTATAAATAAATTTATTGTTAACTTTTCGTTATATATATATATATATATCTCGTAATAGAAATTATAATCTTTTGAAATATTTACTATTCGATTAGAATTTCTCTTTATATAATTATTTCTTCGATATTATTTTATACACGTAACATTATCCGTCATCGTAACAATCGATAAAAAAAGAAAGATTATCTTTTTTATATTATAAATAAAAATGTCAATGTGTGTTAATCTAATAATATTACGAATGAATATAAAACAAAAATGTCGAATAATTAGGTGCGTTAGATTAAATGGTATATCCTTTTAATCGCTATATTGCACGGGTATGAATGCTTCATTAAAAAAACGTAAAGTTCGAGGATTTATGTTCCCGTTAAAATAGAAAATATCTCATCTCTTCGTGAATAAACGAATGATATCGCGAGATAAAGTGAATGACAGACAGAGATATTCGAATACGTCATTACTTGTAGCGAACCTAGTAGTGATCTTGGTATATATCGCGACGAATCGCGACAAGTTCTCGAATAAATCGAAGCGCATCGAGTTGTAGAGCTCGGCCATTCCCATTTCGGGTTCTCGTTGACGTCTCGTTATTGCGATTACATTCCCGTTAGCTCGACGTAATCTATATCGACGACCCCGTTTCGAGCTGCCATGCACGCTTTTAACTCGTTTACCTCGTTGATATCTAGATAGATACATTTTGCGTCTATGCGTGCGTACGAACGAACGAACGAACGAACGAATGAACGTACCTATCCTACGTGGATAGAACTGTCCTGTAGTTATGGTATATACGTATATACATATATACATATATATGATCTATATATGTATATATATAAATATAGATATAGATATAGATATATATATATATGTAAAGTATGTAGAGATACGTAGAGAAAGAGAGAGAGACATGGATCTCGGACGAAACGTCGACCGAACGAACGCAAACACGGATTTTTGCAATGCCAGGTTGCTTTGCTGTGAGTTTGTCCCGAGCGTACTACTCGCATCCATTAGTATATGAAAAATATCCCTCTCGTTCGCTATTTTTTTTTTCCATTTCTTTCTTTCGTTTTTTTTTCTTTTTCTTTTTTCTCCTTCTTTCCTTTTTCTTTTTCTTTTTAATTCTCGCGCATCTAATGTCCTCGCCCAACGATGAGAATATTTTTTTTTTTTTTTTTTGTTTTATGATAAGATTCGCATTTGTGTCGGTAATACTTACAATAAATGTTGAGTTTCAAGGTATCCTCGGCGTATCCACCGCTAACTTTATTATTCTCCGCTCTGCAGGTCAACACTTTGTTGTGATCGAAGAGAGTAGGTTTGAAAGTGAACACGGAACTCGTCATGTTCCCATCGGTTGATACCTGGATTGAGATAGGAATATTGTTTTTGTTTGTAATAAAAATATTCAATAAATGTACGTTCATTCGATTTGACCATCATTTTACATTTGTATGATTGGTAACACGATATTTCTTAACCTTAGGTTATTTAAAATACCATTCGTCTATATATTTTGTTTAATAAACGTTCGCAATTATTAATTTATTTCGTTAATCTTAAACAATTAACAATTACACAAGCGCGACGCGATAAAATAATATTCTGATATATTTATACTCATTTAACCTTTTTGCGCACAAGTTTGTCTACCAGTGTCAATATTGATTGTAATTTGAGGTTGTTAAATAATATAGAAACAGTATGCCGCTAAAATATATTTACTAATTAATTATCTCATTGTTTATTAAATATTAATTTAACTTTGTAATAAATGAATATACCGGACTTGTGTATGAGTTAATCGAAGTTACGTTGATGATTCCCGTCAAACTCCCACGTATAGGTACGTTATTTGTTAGCAAGGGATTAAATAGTAGAACATTGCGGTATACTCTGTTATAGGACTTTTGAAAAATCGTCTGCTGTACTCAAATAAAAAAGATTTCATTAGTCGCGAAAGTATTAAGCGTAATCGAGGTCGTATTAATGATCTTTAAAAAAGGTTAGCAGGTAACAAGAAGGGTTGAGAACAAGAAAAGAAAAGAAAAGAAAAGAAAAAAAATCAAAGGAAAGAAAGAAAAAGAATGTAAGGTAAGAAAGGGTTGTAGAGATGAGATTATACGTTGACATACGCACGAACAAAGTCGAATAATTACTTAACTAAAGATAACGTTACGAAGAAGGAAGCTAGGATCGGACTTTACACGGCTTATAAAACGGGAGCGTTAATCCGACGATAAGTCTTAATGACCGGACGAAGTTGGCCTAGGTAGTAGGGCGTTTATCATTCGCCCACTTGCGAATAATTTTCACGGAAGGAAAGCCCATCATCCTGCCTAGGTCGACTAAACTTCCGAGCTTTTTATTTTTTTTTCTAATTGGAGAAGAGTAATCGTTCAGATATAACAGGAATAGAAAAATCAAAAGAAAAATAAAAGAAGAAAGAGAAAAATATTATAAAAAAGAGTCGGGTAGGTGATTATATTCGCGATTGAAATCTATTTAAAGGATATATCGATTTTGTTGTTGTCTTTCTTACAAATCACTCGAAAGAACGAACAACCGAACGAACAAACGAACGAACGAACGAACGAAGATACGAACTTACGAAGGAACTAACGCATGCGCGTTTTCACGGAAGTGAAAACTTATCGATCGAACTCGATCTCCGGCATCTATCGAACCGAATCGAGGTTTTACAACAACTCGCGCGATAGGAATTTCAGGATGAAATTGAAGCGAAATTCGCGCGTACGACCGGCCATAAATCGAGAAAGTCGAATCACCTGGCGTTGCTGCCAACTATGCGGCCACGTTTCGTTCTAGCTCACTATCGATGGTGAACGTGTGCCATCAGTATAACTCGCTGTCGCTATCAACTTGTTCCCCTACACTTGGATATTATGAGGCTTTACTGGCACGGCTCGAGTCAACGCGTATGTTGCCGTTGTGTTGTTAACCTGCGTTATATTCAATTCGAAGTTCTTAACATTTTGTTAAAATGAAAATAAGAGCGAAACAACAAATTCCAACAGATCTCGTTCACACCGATCTCGTTTACGTTGCGTTACTTTAATAAATGATACGTTGTGTTTTAATTTTTCTGTGTGACGGTTTGTCTTTTTTTTTTTTGTATTTTTCTATTTATTTAAGTATGCCACGATCAAAGAACTGTTTCGGCTTTTGAGGTAACGTTACTACCCTAGCAATAGGAAAGAAGAAGAAGAAGAAGACAAATGGAGGAGGATAGATCGCGAAAACATCGTTTCTATCCGCGGTAATTGCAACATGGCGTGTTGTAGGGAACCCTTAATGGCGACGATGCAAATACCGATACCCGACCGCTAATGTCTGTGATTTCGCGAAGAACGATCGAGGGTGGAATTCATGTTTCCTTCGTGTTCGTCGACCGATCTTGTTTTTTGGCCCCGATGTTTTTTTTCTTTCAGAAACGATCGTGTACGCGAACCCTCGCCCCCACCCTCGCCCCTGCCTTCGCACATTCGAACTTTGGCCCTATATTCGAACTTCCCCTTTCTCGCATTTGGCTCCCCCCCCCTCTCTTCCTCTATCTACCACCCACCCTCCCCATTCTCCCTAGTACTACCGTCCGGAACGTTCGTAAGGAGAAAATGATGACGAGCCCGTTGGATGTGGGTCGTAACCTTTCTTTCACGGCTCGGAAATGTTTTACGCCAAAACGTGGGCTCTCTTTACTCGCTTCGTTTTCTACTCTTCTACATATATCCTATATACTACTATGCCAGGTTTTGATGTGAAATAAAAATGAAAGGGTACCTACCTACTAGTCTCAAGGATACGTAGGGGTAGTGGGGAGGGTGGCGAAGGCTAATAATTCGAAAATGTTGGTTCGTTTTAGAGTGTTGAAAGATACAAAAAATAAAAGGAGATAAAATGATAGAAAAAGGAAAAAAAAAAAAAAGAGAAAAAGAAAAAAAAAAAGAGGCTCACCTTTTCCGTATAGTTCTCCATCTTTTCCCCGTCCAAGTACCAGTATAATTTAGCCGGTGGCCTTGAACCGACAGTTATACAACTGATGTTGTATTTTCTATCGGCGCTGATTGTTGTTTGCTCGTTGCTAAGTATATTCACGCTGAGAGGTCTCACTGAAAATAATATTTAAGAGAAATATAATCGATAATCGTGATATATATATATATATATATAAAGTTATCCTCTTAAATATAAAATATTTCAACGCGCGATGATCGAAAAGCAAGTGTGATGTAAGAAAAAGTATAGTATAAAAGAGACCCATCCTCCCCCTCCCCCCTAACTCTCTCTCCGGGCGCCTAGAACTTGCCGAACTTGAAACTTCGTTTTCTCCGTTAATGCGTTTTAAACGAGTAACACACCCCAGCATCCGGTGGTAGACGGCAAACAAGCGTGACGTATCGCCGCAAAAACATCCCGGTCGGCAGGTACTCTCGTTTCACATAACATTGAGAAAAGAATGCTGCGAGAGTTTTTCGTTACTATATAGCAAAGATTATCGAATTTGTTATTCGTTACACTTTAACGTCAATTTTTCCAACCAACTTTTTTCGCAACGACGACTACCGACTACGGACTACGACGAACGTGACGTATGACGATGAACAAATTCACGCGCGTTACTCTAGTGCATATAACTAATAAAGAAATATTTGCTAAGGATCAAGATTGATAACGTTATGAATAAAATAAAGGTACGACGGGTGGGGTGAGGGTTTTGGGGGATTTTGGGGGGGGGGGTATGTATACATGTAGAACGATGGATACGGTATAGTAAGTTTGGCAAAGTTTTTTTTCTTCCTTTTATTTTATTTTTTTTTTCTCCTTCTCTTTTTTTTTTTTTTCTTTTCTTTTCAGCGTAGGCGAATTGACTTCTACTATCGGGTGGGTTTTCCATCGAATTTAATCGCAAACAGAACGGAAAAAGGAACGTCTTTTTCCGTGACGGGGCGTGAGAAGGGTGAAAAAGTACGTACTCTTTTGGGGGGGGGGGCGGAGGGAGGGGCCTGGAAGAGGTGGTAATTCTACGAAAGAAGACAGACAGAGAGAAAAGAAGGATTTTCCATTCAAGCAACGTTGAGGCTCGCGCGATAGAGAAGGATGAGAAAGAGAGAAAGATCAAGGAAAGAGACAAATAAAGAGAGAGTGAGCGGGGTGGGGAGGGGGTGGGGGTAAGCGGGGGAGTGAAAGGTGAAACGTGGTAGAAGAGAACTCGGAATTAAACTTTCAGGACTCCGAACTTTTGACACCAATGAAAAATTTTCCACTATTTCGTCCTCTCCTCCGTAGTTGGTGCTGGTCTTTTTCTATCCTACGTTGACAGCTTCCATCTTCTCGAGTCCGTTCCCTTAATCTACTTCCTATGACTTTGTTCGTCATAACATCGCGCGCGCATATTACACAATTGTAATTGGTATTTCTATGTGTAAGAAATATAGGTGTGTTAGACATAAATATTAATCATTTCGCGTCTGTCTGTTTCATGGGAATACAGTTTTTGTATGGTTTCATTTATAGAGTAATTATAGTCTTCAGGATATAATTAGTTTCGGATAACTAAAATAGGATATATATTTATTATATTATATATTTATTATATTATATATTTTGTTATTATATATAATATATAATAACAAAACTAGGATATATCCTAGGATTGTATAAAATATCTTTTGAAACATTTAATCAATTCATTTGAATGATACGAAATGATAAAATAGAAGAGATTCGAATTAATATATAATATATAATAATAATAATAATAATAAATATTTAATATATATAAAGAGTCTTTCTCTTTCTCTTATTTTTCTACTTAATTGTAAGCATATTTAATCGGGTAATTTTGCAATCCATATAAATACACGTACGCGATGAAACATTCGATTTGTATTACGAAAATAATTCGATAAAATCCTTTTAGTAGTGCTTGAATTTTGTAAGTTTCAATAGATTTATCATTTGACGCCATTCGACGATGACTATAATACAAATATATATATATAATATCGAAAAATATTTAAAGTAGGTAACGTGTAGCATCAATGCGAACGTCTTTCTCGACTAAAATTGAATAGCTATGAACTACCTGTAGGATCGTGGAATAACGCGTCATTAAAAGTTTACTAGAAAAGTTCGATTGATCGATGGTTGATTGAATAATAACGCGTTGGTACAAGGTACCTATACCTACATTTATTTTCAGTACTCTCTTTGCTTGGACATCGATGATGAATGGGGTTAGAACGACGGAGAAAAATATGCGTAGGCGTCCATTAAAGTCTTCATGTTGGTCACCGGATAGATATATGCATGTATATAGGTAGGTTGTTATAATGGATGTTCGATAGATGATACCGTCAATGTATGGTTTCTTTAGAAACTTAAAACTTTGAATCCATAACTACTGTACAAATTCGCGGAAAAGGATAATTCAGGTTGTTGTTTTTTTCTTTTCTTTTCTTCTCACTTCCGTTCTGTATAGGATAACAATAAAATAAGTTTATTCTTTTTTTTTTTTTTGTTTGTTCTTTCTCGAAACTAATACGACGATAATACGCAATCCCTGTGGATATAAAATTTATTCTTATGATCGGCAGTGTCACCTTTCTGACAACAAAAAGAAGAAGTTTTAATTGAAACGTTTTCACGAGAAAAAAGAAAAAGAAAAAAAGAAAAAAACCAGAGTCAACGTGAAATTATCCACAAACAAAACGGTCTATGTCAAAAACTCCTGTTCCTCCGGGGCAAAATTGGGAATGGATTCGATAGAATCCCGATGAGTTCGTGCGAGAGGGAAAAAAAGAAACGGAGAGGACGGAGAAAAGAGGGACAAAACGATCGAATGAAACAAAACAAAACAAAATCTAACGAGAGATCCATGGAGGAAAGTAAAAATGGTTTAAAGACCGGTGAGACAAGTGAGGAGTAAAGAGAGGACGATCGCATGCGGAATAACGAACGAGCTGCCGAGGATAAAGTTATTGCTATTGCAAATTAGAAATACCTACCAACTTTATCCATCTATCTACCAACGGCACGTTTGATTTTATGGTAAATCTAGACCAACGCAGTTGCTCTCTCTTTCTTTCTTTCTTTCTTTCTTTCTTTCTTTCTTTCATTCTTTCCTTTTTTTTTTTCCTATTTTTGTTTCCTCTTTTATTCATACATTGTTATGCTTTCTTTGTATTCGCAAAAGAATAATATACAAGGGAAAGAATAAAATAATTTTTGTTGTTAATTATTTAAAGTTTGGTCGTCGGGAAAAAGAAAGAAAAAGAAGAAACAAAATTTTGAGATTATTTAATTAATAGTTAATGTTTTTTTTACCACAACTCACATCGTAACATCGTTCTTTACATTTCTCATGATAAAACAAACAATTTGGCTTTATATATTTGTTAGAACTTTTAAACAAATTGCATGGGCATTAATTTGTTTGTTATTCTGCGTAATTCTTTACTTCTTTTTTTTTTTTTAGATATTCAGTAACGTTAATTAAAAACAATGTACATTACAAAAACGCGTAGATTTCGAATGACGAAAACTTTGCGATACTAACAAAAGAGGGGATTAAGGAATAGTTGGGTAAAAGAAAACAAGGGAAAAAAAGCAACATCATTTTACATATACGAGTAGTACTTTATATTCTTTTCTACTTTCTACTCACGCATCTCATTCTTCTTTTACGATAAAAGTTATTCCGTAATCCGACCATCTTTTAATCTAAATATACGTGATTTTTTTCCCGCGTGTTCGTTCTATAATAATAAAAATAAAAATAATAATAATAATAATAATTGTTAGAGATAGTAAATAAACATTATTAAAAATTTAGCCAAAAATTTTTTTAAATTAATTCTTACCGAATTTGAAATTTTTGTTTGAGATGATAATTAAAAAATACATACTTAATTATATTACATACGTTTCTACGTTAAAACGTAAAGTTATATTAAAAGTATACACCGAACACGCGCATACGTTCAAAAGTGAGGTTTCAAATGTAATACCGTATTGGGATTTTAAACGCAATAAATTTACGATACCAGTTGTAATAAATTTAAAAGGGATGCAAGTATCTTTCATTAAAAGATGCGGATATAGGGAATCGAGATCGATACCATAATCGAACGAATTTTCGTCGATATCGTTACGCTAAAAGCATTCGGTATATTGAAAAATCAATGGGATTGGACTACAAAAGGAGGAGGAGGAGGAGGAGAAAGAGAAGGAGGAGGAGGATCGTGTTACGAATAAACGAGTACATGAACGATTAGTGTGAGACACGATAGGGAGGATGAGGAGGAGGAGAATAGTAGAAGAATGTTATAACGAATAAACACGATACAAGGCTTTCGTTTCTCATCGCAAACGATAGTGTTAATTTATTTCTTAATTTGCATTCATGGAAGCTCCTTGAATAGAAGGACAACGTTTAGAGAGAGAGAGAGAAGGAGGAGATTGAGGCGAGAAACATTTGTTGATGGAAAGCTCCTATACGCTAGAATATAAACACAAACGAAAGGTCGAATAGGATGGAGAATAGAAATGTAGTTGTTAGTACGTAATGCTTGCATATGTATATGTTTACGTAAAGAAAGAGAAAGAGAAAGAGAAACAGAGAAGGAAAGAGAAGGAAACAGAAGGAAAGCGAGAGAAAGAGAAAGAGAAAGAGAGAGAGAGATGAAGGCTTATATGTAGCAGCAGGTAGTCGCACAGTCGACACAGTCTCGTTGTGGGGGTCACAGGAGACTCACTCGACTCCGATGGTAGTCTGAGAGGGTTCTCCTGCCGCACTCAAAAGCACTGTCTCCGGTACACAATCAAGCCCTGCAGCTCGAGGGTCCATGTCTCTTGCTCACCCTTTCCGTCTTCTTCCGGTACCCTTTCTTTTAGCTGTCCCCTCAGTTCACAGTCTCTTCTCACCCCTCGTCATAGCTCGTCTTCCTCGTAACACAGCAGCAACAACAGCTGCAACAGCAGCAGCAGCAGCAGCAGTAGTAGCAGCATCGGGAGCTTTAGCTTGTTGTCGACGTCGTTGTAGTCGTCGTTGTCGTCCTTGTCGACGTCGTTCACGTCATTGCGTGACTCGTCCCCAAGCATGCAGATA